AGCAATGTCATTTATTGTGTAAACAACTACCTGGGTTTTTTTCTCTCTCTATAATGATCATACCAGATAAGCTAACTATTCTAACTGGTTACTTCCTTGGCATTTCTGAAGCAGTTTGAGGAAGATGGGTTGTATGTAATGCTGTTCATCTGCATTACATATACCCCATGTATGTTCATATTCTTCAAATTTTCAGCACTATGAGTTGTCCCTGATCTTTTCTGGCCCTGCACACAAAAGCCAGGTTTTGACATAAAAACCAAAGGATCATACAGTAGTGCCTTGACTTACAACATAATCCGTTCCAGAAGATGGATGTAACTCGCAATAGACATAAGTCGATGCACCATTTCCCATAGGAATGCATGGGAACACGACTAATCTGTTCAAGCATTTATAATAATAATAATAATAATAATAATAATAATAATAATAATAATAATAAGAATAATAATAATAATAATAATAATAATAATAATAATAATAATAATTACAGCAGCTAGAATTCTGGAAACTGGAGTCACCAAAACAAGAGGAGCTCTTGGAAAAGATCTGGGAAGTAGCAGAGATGGACCTTTTGTCAGAAGGGCTGAAAGACTGTCCAACACAAAAGGCAATTGAAAGATGGGATCTATTATACAAATAGTTTGAGTCAGTAGATAGAACTGGATAAACATATGAGACGATAAGGAGCGAAGACACAACACCACTGTCTGGCTCTAGACCCGAGATGAGGAGTTGGAAAAAAACACCTAGACTTCTCATGGGGAAAGGAGGCGTGATGGGAATGGACTGTCCTTTACGCCCATTGTTCAACATCTAGAAGGGACGAAGAAGATGGGTGGTGCCAAGAAGATAGAAAATGGAGGATGGTGCCACATGGACAGAGCTGGAAGTGATTGGAGGGCTTAGAGAGCTTCCAGACTCAGATGCCTGATTCCAGTTTCTAGGCAGCCATTTTGTATGCTTTATATGCTAAGATGTTGTATAGAGAGAGAGATTTAAAGGGGGGCTAACCGTTGCCTACCCTTAAAGAAGCTTTGTTTTATTTTATTTTTGCTAGTTGAATTTTGTTAAGATTCTAACTGCAGTATCTTTTGGAAATGTAACTTATGCTTTGCTTATGCAACAAACTGAATATCTCTAAATACTTTATTTTTCAATAAAAATTTATCCTTAAAATCCTTAAGATTGGTTTCTTGAACAGCAAGTCTGCTGAGCCTGCTTCCAGAAGAGTTGTCAGGCCACAGAATGCTACAGAGTCCTTTTTGCCTGAGCTTTGTTTGTCCTGGCAGACGCCAAAGCTCATGAGTTTTCTCTGTTATTTTTCTTGCTTAACTTTACTTAAGTACAAGCAAGGGTTTCCTTTAGAACAGACTTGTGGTGAGGGGTTTGTGTTACGTCCTGGCTGAGTCACCCGGACTCTGCTCAGCTATTTAGGAGTACACATACGCCCGGACACACTCTGTTTGGGAATCGAGCAATCCTTCTGGGGATGGTGGGTTCTGACACCCTTTACCCAACTACTAATCTAAAAGAAAAGAAATAAGAAAAGAAAATGTGGCAGGGGGTTACTTAGCGGTTACAAAAAGGGGATCATGACTTTAAAAAGGTTGGGATCTTAAGGAGAGATCACCATTATCAGCTATAATGATAATCAGTGGGGAAAAGGACAACACAAATTGCAATAAATCTGACATGACTTTGGTTTGTTAAAATAAGGGAAAAATATTTAGGAATAAATCTTACAAAAATTGGAAGATTTTATAAAGCCAAATTTTGAGAAGTTGAAATTAGAAATTAAATATAAATTAAATTATGATACCGTTTTCCCTGAAATAAGACCTAAACTGAAAATAAGCCCTTGTATGATTTTTTCATGATGCTCGTAATATAAGTCCTACTCCAAAAATAAGCCCTAGTTAAGTGAAATCCCGCTCCCCACCATTGTGCAGCAACCAGAAGATGACATGACTGCATTTGAATAAGTGTAGATGGCTGTACATGACAAAAATAAAACATCCCGTGAAAATAAGCTCTAATGCCTATTTTGGAGCAAAAATTAATATAAGACCCTGTCTTGTTTTGGGGGAAACAGGGTAGGAAGATCAACTATCACGGTTTGGTAGAATTGTCTTGTGTAAAATGAAAACTGTACCGCAGAAATTTTTTAAAAATCCTTATTTTTTTATTCTCAAGGATTGTAGTGAATTTTCCAGAAAATTAGAAGGGAATTTCTCAAAATTTATTGAAGAGGAAAGAAACGTTAGAACTATAGTTTGATTAGCAAAAATGAATACAAGGGGGGGGGGACGACAGTGTTGGTCAATATGTTGCAGCTAGATTATTGAACTTAAGAACGGGTAAAGAGTAGTTAGTGGTAAATGCAGGGAAATGACCCAAATCTGCAGAAATTATTACTCAGAGGGGGAGGAGATATTTGACAGTACAACAAGTTTAATCTTATGGATTCGAAATGCTGCATATTGTCTTGGAGATGTGGTCATGTTATATTTACTTATTTCACATGTAGTGAGACTGGGAAGCAAATTTGAAAATTTGGAATACAGTATTTGAAGAAATTGAAAACTTAATGCAACTTGCCCCTCAAGTTCCACTCTTAAGAGTGGGCTTGGGCAAAAAAGGAGTTAATTAAAAAAAGTTCATGATTAGTTTGCCAGATTAGTGATTGCAAAAAACTGGAACTGTGAGTGTAGACCATCAGGTTTGCCCTTCTCAGAGGTATCTCTCCCCTCACCTCCCGTGAGACGCAGAATGGAAGACTGGCCCATATCCAACTCCGTTTCTCCAGGGGCTCTGCCTCCCATCACCTTGGTTTCCATCTGTGAAGTGTCGAAGAAGAGCCCCTGAAGCAGGATCAGACCCCAAGCCCAATCTGATCCCGCAGGCAGATCACACTCTGAGCCGGTCGATGGGAGCTGATTGTGAGAGAACTCCAGAAGGATGACGGCACCTCTGCTCCTTCTTCCTGATTTATTTCACCAACTGGCACTTCAGAGGCACTCGGGGCAAAAGGCCCTGGAGCCCCCTCTCCCATCGGGACAGCTTCCCCTGAAAGGAGACACTGCATCCTCGATTGGAGCACAGCCAAGACTTTCAAGGACATTCCATGAAATGCAAACATCCCTTCCCAAGATAACACCCTTGTTGCTCAACAAGACGTCCAGGAGGTGAAAGATGTCTGGAAGTTTCTCTGTTTATCTTTCACACATTTCCAGATTCTCACCAAAAAACACTGCCATGATCACGGCCTTCTTACCTGCTCTCTTCAACATCTCTTTACAGGGTCTGCCATCAAGGGCTGCAGGTTTCCACTTCACCCCAAAGAAGGATTTGGGTTAGGCCTCAGATGCCACCCCGATGCCTATGGAGGAAAAGACAGAGGAGGGCTGAAGGATGCCGTTTCTCAAGCTTTGACATCCCTCACCATCGAACACAAGGAAGGGAGAAGAACCTGATGTGTGACACCTTTTCTGAAGAAAGACATGTATGTGTTTTCTACACAACTGGGCTTCAGTTTTCTAAATCAAAAATAAAAGGAAAAGGAGTTACCACATTCTTTGAGTGTAGGTTGGACAGATGGGGCACTTATTTATTTTCCTCCTCTGCTTCATTTTCCAGAGGGGTAGCAGGGTGTTTTATTTCATTTCATTTTTATATCAATAACTACAAATGCCTGGCTACCACTTTCAAGATGCTCAGAGGGACTTACTTCCAGGAAAGTAGATTTAGAATTGCAACCTAAAGATGGGGTCCTTCCCTAGTCATGAGAAAAGCAGATTGGACAACAACGAAGGGAGTGTGTTTCTTTATTTCATTTATTTCAACAAGTCTGCTCAAAGCCCTGCTAACCCAATAAAGCAGCATCAACAGCAGAAGGAAAGAAGAAAGCAGAATACCGGCCCAGGACATAGTAAAGGAGTATTTTAAACTCACCAGCTATTTCTTGGATCATCTCTTAGAGGGAGGCATCAAGGTGTGCTTAATAATGACATTCAGAAGTGCACAGAATCCTGGACTTTAGTTGCGTTTTATTTTCCCTCTTCTCATAGTTGTCTTGTTATCTCCTACAGCATCAATATATTTTTCTACACTTTTAACTTATATTTATTGTACTGTATCCTCATTGCACTTTATGATTTTTGATTTTCACCTCTATATATTGATGTTATTTGATTTTCGTCCCTATGTATTGATGCTGTTATTTTGTTACTTTGTTGTTTTATGTTAATTGCTGTAAACCAGCCAGACTGTCCTTTGCTGCCAGATGGGTGGTATATAAATCAAATAAAACAAACTAACTAACAAATAAATCAATCAATCAGGGAACGCCCAGGCACAGCCTGCCTCCCTTCCATCAGCTGACTTCTGTTTCAGGCCTGGGAATCAAGACTTGAGAAGTCCAGGACAGAATGTTCCCCTTCCTTCCTTACATCATTTTTTAATTCCTTAATTTGGACTCACTCCCTTGCTCATTCCACATGGAGGAGATCCACCAGCCAGTCTGCAGAACTTTATCAAGGCAATCTCAAGGTTAATCATTAACTGATATATGTGAACGGGATATAGAATTAAATCCTGAGATAGCCTTGTTATCAATATTTGTAAATGTGGAATATGATATGATGACTAGAGAGTTGGTTACCAATTTATTAACAGCAGCCAGATCAATAATAGCTAGGAATTAGAAATCAAAACTTGAATTTCAAATGGAAGAATGGTATAATGAAATATGGAACATTGCTATAAATGATAAATAACTTACAATTTAAAGGTTAAGAAAGGAGAGATTAAAAAAATTATAATATATGGGGCAGATTTATTGGATATGTGGTAACAAGAGGGAAAGTTCCAAATGAGGAATCAATGCAGTTCAGGAGAAGAGGACAATAAAAGAAAAAGAATAAAGACAATGGAAAAAGAAGATTACTACAAGCGATCCTGACGAGGGTGGAGGGGAACACAGTTGATTTGGATTTTGGTTTATGTATTTTATGTTGAAGTTTATTAACAAAAATTAAAAAATATATCATCAGAGTCTGAAGTACAGGTGGATGGTGTTAAGCAAAATTCCCCACTCTGGCTTGTCTGTTCAGGGGGAACAAGAAGGGAGCCTTGAAGGGGAACCCCTAGACCCCAAATCAGAATGACCAAGGTTTGCCTCTTATCAAGACGACCTGCCTTTGGTGACCATGGGGTTTGGGGTGAGCAGGATTCACACGTATAAAACAAAAAAAAACCCAACCTCAATAAAAAGCAAAGAAAACTGAACACCAACACTCTGCACATGATCAGAGAGTCAGTGTGCTGTAGCGGATGGACTACCAGACTGGAAACCAAGAGAGCTGGATTCAAATCCCTGCTGGACCAGGGAAATTGAGAGAAGAGAGTGGGTAGCAAGGCTACGTAAGCCACCTCTTGAAATCTCACTTACCTTGCAAATGTTGGTGGGATCCGGGATTCGGCTTTTCGTTTTTGGTCCCAAAAGAAGCAAAGAGACATCAGCTCACCCCTTCCTAGGAGAAAAGAAAAAATAGAAAAGATCAGCCCGGAGGCTTTACGGATAAAGCAAACAAAAACATTTCCTTCAGGGATCTGCCTTCCTCATGTTTCTACTGAACGGGGCCACATCCCCATCTCTCTCTCTTCTTCAGGCAGCAGAACAAGAGGAACAGAAAGGCAGCCAATAAAGAATCCACAGGAAGGGAGGAAGGGAGGAAAAGGGAGGAAAAGGAAGGAACATTTCATGCTGTTCTCCAAGCTAAAAGCTCCCACCGTCTCAGTGAGGAGGGGGCAACAGCAGGGAATCTGAGAGCAACAGGACCTGCTTCCCGCTGTAACATATGATGAAAGTAACAGGAAACAAGATTGTATTACTACTATTTATTTAAAATATTTTTACCCTTCCTTTCTCCTTTAAAAGGACTCAAGGCAGGTTACTTTCATCACTAAAAGGCAACATTTAAAAGTTAAAAACAGCAAGTCTGGAAACCTTAAAAAGAATCAATTCAAAGGTACACTAAAAATAGTAAACAAAATCAACATCTAGAAAACACCAGAGCCCCTGTGATGAGGGTTGGACCAGGCCCTCTGTTATCAGGGAAGCATTTATTGTTTCTGTTGCTTCAAGGATCCCAACACACCGGACGTCTCCAAAGGGACTCCTTGGCCTCCGTGCCAAGTTCCCTGTGTTGTGGAGTTGCCAACCCAAGGCGGGCACAGTTCAGGTCTCAAGACTTTTCTCGCCTCCTGTCTTCCAACCCCCAACCTTGCTTAGGCTTCACTCTTCCCTTCGAGCTCACTGCCAACTTCTCCCTCCCTCTCTTGATCGATGAGGCCCTCCTAGGCCTTGTAGGGAAGAAACTCCGGAGGTGGGATCTTTTGAATCCTTCTCCCCTCCCCCCGAGGAGACCCACAGGAAAAAACTGCCTTGCACAAAAGTTGAGCAAGACAAACCACAACGAGGCACAATTGGCAATGACCGGAGAAGCAGCTACCCCCTCCCCGGACAGGGACTTTGGGAAATCCAGGAGTTCCTGGACGGCACTTTCCAGAAACCCAGGCAGAGCTATTTGGGAAGGCTCCTGGGAATTGTGAGCCAATAACACCCAGGTGACCCACTGGTCTGGGGGGGGGGGACCCACTGCTCGGATTCAGCCACAGATGGGGCTGATTGGCTTTGTGAACCCAAGTTCCCTTTGGGATTCATCGGACCTTCCTCCTGGGATATAAGAGGCATGAAAGATAAAACATTGGCACAATATTCATGTCTTAATTATTAAAAACACACAACGTGAAACACCTCAAATTGTTATTCTATTATTTTGAATTCCATCTCCAAAAGTAGTTCAAATTGTTTCTAACACTGCTTTGGGAGATGCAGATCTTTCTAAGACATCTGAGAAATGATATCAAAATAATAAAATTACAGTAGGAAAATATTAGCAGCTCCCAACCACAGCAAGCTGAATCACAGGGGAAGCTGGTGGGAGACAGAGTGATTTGATTTCCTTATCCATGAATGTGCTCTGTCCTGCTTGGTTGTGGATTATGCTGATCAAATGACCCATTCACAGTTCCTTTAGCCCAGAGGTGTCAAAATTCTTTGGCCATATCGGCATTATGGTTGCCCTCGCTTCTATCTGTAAGACTATATAAACGTATTGACTCTTTATAATATTAAATATTATCCTCATTTAATTTTTAGTGTTATTAGTACTAATGTAAGTTATTACTAGCTCTGAAAGTAAAAGTCTATGAACTAAGTCTTGTAATGAGGGTGAAAGAAGAGATTGCAAAAAACATTTTTTTTGATGTTGAGAGAGCTCAACATAAAAAAAACAAACTAAGATCATGGCCACTGGTCCCATCACCTCCTGGAAAATAGAAGGGGAAGATATGGAGGCAGTGACAGATTTTACTTTCTTGGGCTCCATGATCACTGCAGATAGAGATAGCAGATAGCAGCCACGAAATTAAAAGACACCTGCTACCTGGGAGGAAAGCGATGACAAACCTAGACAGCATCTTAAGAAGCAGAGACGTCACCTTGCCAACAAAAGTCAGAATAGTCAAAGCTATGGTTTTTTTCTGTCGTGATGTATGGAAGCGAGAGCTGGACTATAATGAAAGCTCACCGCTGAAGAATGGGTGCTTTTGAATTGTGGTGCTGGAGGAGACTCTTGAGAGTCCCCTGGACTGCAAGGAGAACAAACCTATCAGTTCTAAAGGAAATCAACCCTGAGTGCTCACTGGAAGGACAGATCCTGAAGCTGAGGCTCCAGTACTTTGGCCA